AAATCCATAAAAAACACGAATAGAAAATAATAAATTAATGTAAAATAAAAATTTTATTGTATTTAATTTTAATAATTAAAAATTTCTACCTAAATGATGAAATTGATTGCCAAAATATTTAAATTTTTTCAATCATGGTTTATTTTTTTTTTACAAAAATTCAAATTTTCAATTGTGAAGTTAAATAATTTAATATTTCTATTGGAATCCAGCCTAGACGAATGAGGATTTTAATTAATCTTGAGGCGAGACGGAGTATTAAGTTTCGTTTATGAAATAATCAACTCTTCTTGGTCTCGGCTCGATTTGAATAATCCCGATTAAAAATCCGGGAGTGTGTTTTTCCGATTGGCCGCGTCGCGATCCGAATCGACCGGCGACACCTGAATTCAATTATTGTCGCTCTGTTTTTACGAATTTAATCTCGCTTTGAAATAAATTAGCGCGAACGAGGCCGCCGGATAATGAGATTATTATATGCTATTTATTTAAACACACTCTCTTGGAATTAAGTTTTCTCTTCAGCCGAGGGAACTTAATACTCGATTAAAACCTAAAAATGATAATACCCGGCCGGAGAGAGAAAAATTAACACTCGCAGCGCTCGTGAAACTCGATCCGCGTGCGCGGTGTGTGTGTGTGTTGGTTCTATTAGGGCGATTTAAACAGGTTTCGATGTATTTAAGTGGACATAAGATTAGGTGACCTCCCAGGTGCGCGCATCAGGTACTGCACGCATCGCCTTTCAAATCTCGGCGGAGACAAAGTTCGGCGGCTCCGCGCGCGACAAAACGAGATTTTCAGGTTCAATTGCGATTGATTCGCCTCTGCAAGCTGCAAGAACCTGCGCTCGAATCAATCATTTCAATACAAAATGACCACATTTGAGAAATCGCAAATAAGCTTTCACAGCGATGAAATTGAGATAATTTGAAAAGGACTACAAATTAACAATTAAAGATCTGAATTTAAAAATATTTAAATTCACACATAAACATATTAATTCTGATTTTGTAAGTTTTGTAGTTTCTATTTAGAGATAAATTAAAACAATCTAATTGTTACTGAAACTGCAAAAAAGGTCGTTGATTGAATTTGATCTGGCCGAGATGAAAAGCGATATGAAATATATGCGGCGGGGCACAAAATACAAAACGGTTACGATGCGTGAGATTGAATGTTGGGTAAATTGAATGAATGTCACTTTTCGCCACAAGTCGCGCATCACTCGCGGCGATTAATTACACACGCGGCCGCCTTAATACACACGTCGGTGCAAATTTCTGCGGTTCAGTCACATGACGACATGTTTAGATAGAAAATCCAAGTGGCAAATGCAAATTTAATATATAATTCTGCAATTTGAACGCCGGATGGAATTTTAGCCGCCTCACCTCCAGCAACCTTTGCCTCCGATTACAGATAAAAAATGATATCTCTGCGCACAAGGAATTGCAAATTATTTCAAGTAAAAAAAATAAATAAATAAAGAAGGTCGTTTCAATAAAATTAGATTTAGATTTGTTCACTTTCTCAAAAATGAATTGAACTTTCATAATTGTGCCCGTCTGGTTTGAAATGATGAGATTTTTAGACACTACTTCTTATTAATTTTAAACCAGAATTTAAATGTATCTTTTTTTATTTTAATCCTAATTCCATTCTTTTCAACTTAAAATTTTTGCTTTTAAGAAGATGTCCCTGACTTTTTGCTCTATTTCAATAAATAAATCTCTAGAATTATATTTTGAATATTCTCATTGATTTTGTGCCAATTTGCCATTAATCAGCTGAAAGAAATTTGAATACATCCTTTCGCATGATTGATTTGTTCAAATCGTCTGCGCGAGGGTTCTGGTTGGAGAAAAAATTTACAGAAACTGGCTCTACATATTATGTGTGGTGGGAGAAATGAGAAATCCGATATGATAACCACACAAGTCGATATTAAGTAACATGCACCTACATTTTCATTCTCCCCTTTCGTGCGTGCGAGTCGTCGCAGCTCACCAGACACACACACACACACACACATATGATATTTTCATCACCCAAGTGCTCGTCCAACCTCCTTTTTTATTAATATAAATAAATTCGACCCGGCAGCGTTTTGATTTATAACGAAGAGGAAGCCGAGGCAGTAAAGCCACTCGTCGACACAACAAATAAAACAAAGCAAAAATTAACAACTTCCTGCTTGAACGTTTATGCTCTGGCAAAATCAATACTTATATTTTAATGCACTCGTCAGTCGGTTTTTCTCAGATTTTTCCGGCTTGTTGCTTTTATTGTTGGCAATTAGCAAACGTTTGTTGCCTCTGAAATGGGAAGTACAAAATAAAAAGTAAAGCAAGTGCCGCGGTTTTTGTATTTACAGCTCCAATTACAATTAATTAGCACCTCAAGATTTACGAGCGGCGCGAACAAGAGCGCAGCTTCCTCTCTTTCGATATTTGCACCGAAAAAATAGAAATCAGGTTGACAAAAAGCACACGTTTGGGTGATTAGTGTACAAAATTGTGTCTTTGCACCTGCCACGTCACTCTTCCGGTCCAAACCACATCACAATGTAATAATAATAATGCGATTCGAATGCGGCCGCGGACCGAGGGAGGGAGGGAGGGAGGGAGGCCTTTAAAAGCGGCTAATAAAGCTTATCTGCTCGTGTCCATCTCGAGCCGGCCGTAATTGCCTTAACACGACGCAATGCCACCATCATTATTCCAAATTCTAACGATTCAACATTTTCAACTTTGTCTATTGACACAATCGTTCCATTTTCGCAGTTTCGCCGTTGATGATGATTATGTTGCGGTGAATCAACGGCCCCGCCAAATGCAATTTCAAGGGCGGTGAAAGAAAAAAGTTTTTTAAAATTATTCGTTTATACCGATTTTAATACATTTGGGGAAGTAAAAATTTAACAATGCTCTTAAGGTTCAATTTAAAAAATGCTGTCATGCATATTCAGAAAAATTGCCCCCTGAAATTATTTCAATGATAAAAGTGAATGGAAAAGAATCTTTTTTTTATTATTTTTTTTTTTAATAGTTAACAATTGCGGAACAGCATTTTGTTAATTGCTTGTTTGCACTTTTCGCCAGAAATGACATCCTGTTTAGGCGCCGTTTTTTCACTTGCTTTTTATAATTGGGCCGAATACGTGGAAACATTTTAATGAAAGGCCAAAATCTTTTATCATTTCCACCACCTACGCTCTATTTCACGCTCGGCTGCGCAACCCGCGAAATTTGCATAAGCACATATGGCTTGAAAATCTACATAACAAGCGGTGCGTTAATTGCGTGGACGAAGAAAAAAAACGATAACGCAGCCACTGATAATTAGTTTATTTTTACAAAAAGGCTCATTACTGCAATCGAGCATCTCGTAATTGTATTATATTTGCCGCGCTCAGACGATGCAACAATCTTGATGCGCTTCCTTAATTGCAGCCATTGCCAACTGCAATTACCGGGGCAGTGAAGCAATCCAAATTCTGTGATAAAAAAAAACAAGCAAATTTAAAAAGTTTTGATCAATCTCGTTTTTGACAAGAGTCAATAAATATTTTCTAACAAAAATGTATTTGTAAACATTTTCTTAATTTATGATTCTCCCCAGCTTTTTAAAATTATATAATAAAAAAAAAAATGTAACACTGCCTTGGATGTTGCTGAAAAATGAATTGCCATCGTACGTATGTCTGGTGCCAAAGGAAGGCAAGAAAAATGACCACATTTTTTTGGTTCACACCAAACCAATTTCGGTTGATGCCGGTAAAAAGAATACAACAAATTATCCTGCTCGGGAATTAATTGCTGAATTACTTATGTTAACAAATGACAATGGAATTAAAGGCTGAAATGGTAATTTGATTTGAATTTAATGGCTTGATATTTCTCTCTCTCGTACATGCACTTTAATAGAGTGACTTTGTTACTCCTGTAGAGTCTTTTTTTACATTTATTTCGTTGCGCAGGTAATATCGCTGCGTGGAGAGGGAGAGAGTTTTTATACTTAAAAATAATGTTTGGAGCTCTTTTGTGAGCTGCGTCGCCGCCGCCGCCTCGTTCATTCATGTAATTACGAGTGTTATTTCCTCTTAAGGAACTGGCTCGAGAAACATTAGAGGCCATTCAAGTGCTCGGGCCAAATTACATTTACTTATACAACTTGATGCTGCAGTCCCAACACTTAATCGTCCAATGGCTTTTTAAGTGACATTTTAATATCATTTTAATTGTACAAAGACACGTTACTTTTTTATATCAAAATTTGTACGATTTGGAAAGTGGAAATATAGTGACGACGACTTTGGCACGTCTCTCTCAACAGCAGTTTTCGCTCTTGATCTTGATTCCAAATAAAATAATTACGCTGCTGGGGTGCCGCTCAAGTGCCGCGCGCAACATAAATATGCAGATCGCGCGCCAGATAATGCGATTTCCGTTGAGAGGGAGTAAATTGTTGGTGGTGCGGAATAAATAAAACATAAAATATACACGCTGCACTTTTGCTGCCCCCTCTATAAATCATGGAAAACGAAAACTTCACGCGGTGAAAAATCAGCATTTGTTATTGCGGGATTGATTTTATTTCTTTCCGCAAACCTTCAATTAAAAGAGTAATGAATTGTAGCGCCGAGTACGTGATGAGAGCGGATTCGCAACAGCAATTGATTTTTAAGTCACGTACGTAGCCGAAGAATGGGGTCTCGTTTTCTTTCAACAGTATCATTTCCGCGATTCGGGATTAATCTCATTTTTCGGCGCACAGAAAGAAAGTTAACAAACGCCTATTCATTTCCAGAATTCAATCTTATTTGATTGCGTAGCTGTAAATCAGTTAATTGAAATAAATTACACTTGCAGAGCAAAATATTGACTTTGCAGAATTAATTTCCAAGACTTTCCTCGTTGTCTGTTTTGTTGTTCACCAAGAATTATCAGTGCCCTCTTTGTGAACGTGCAAAAGTCTTTGACCCGAGATAATGGATGGCAGCCTCGATTCGTTTCAAGCAACTCTCAGCAGACGCGCAGTTTAATACATAACAAGAGAGAAAGAGCATCTCTGATTGTGAGTGAGGGGCCCGGTTTTCCGGAACCCTGCAGGTACCTGTTAATTTCAATTTAACTAGAATTACGAGCAAAATTTTACTACTTTGTGATTTAAATTTTAAAACTATTTCGCAGACAAGCAACAATGACGTCACTTTTCCTACTGCTTTTGGCGTCAACAGCCTTAATTGCAACGGCAAAAGATTCAAGTGTTGCAGAAGTGGAGGAACTTTTGAGGTTTGGGGACACGATGGATTTCGGCTCGTCCAGTTACATCGTCCTCCTGGGCTCGTCCGGCGTGGGAAAAAGCACGCTGGCGAAATTCTTGGTCCGAGACTCGTCGCTGATGGTTTTCCGGAAAGGCAGAAGCTTCGTTTACTACGACAACAGCACCATCAGTGGCATCACCCGCCAGTCCAAGACGCTGCTGCCCAACCACTACAAGGACCTGGAGACGGGACAGGTAATTGTGGACATGCCCGGCTTCAGCGACACCAGAGAGCCTAAGTACGAAATCGCAGCCGCCTACTTCATCAAGAAGGTGATGGAGTCGGCGGAAAAGCTCAAGATCGTCGTGGTGGAGAACATGTTCAGCCTGACTGAGGGTCAAGACCGCTACGGCTTGACCCGACTCATAAAGCACACCGCCGAACTCATTCCGGACATGACCCTGTACAACGACTCGGTCGGTCTGATCGCCACCAAAGCCAGTTTCAACGGGTTGACTGATGAGGAGCTCATCCAAGACGTGGTGACCTACCTGGAAACTTACGCAATCGACCTAGCTGAGGAAATTCAAGAAGGAACCGACCTGGTTAAGAGTACTAAGCTGCTGGAAGGCCACCTGAAATTTTTGGAGACGATGATTGGAAGTGGCGATGGCTCAAACGTTGGCCTTTTCTACAGACCGAACAAAGAAGGCACCCCTTGGGAGTCCTACCTGACCAACAAGAGCTGGATTTTGCTGAGGAAGCTCATTTTTGAAACACTGGCGTACAAGAAAGTTTCTCCTGAGATGCATTTCAAGTACTCCTTGTCCACTGATGCCCAAGTTTTCGTCAAAGAAAATTTGTTAAACACCACAAACGACGTCGTCTTGACGGAAACGAGAAGTTACCTTACGTCATTAGTGACCCAAATGCAGTCAGACTTGTGGCGTTTGGGAAACGTAACCATTGGAGAAAAAATTGAACTGGTGCAGAATAATAAACACAATTTTGATAAATTTGTAACCGGAATCAAACATCTGGAAGACATCAAATCCAAAGTGGAACACCTAAATCTTCCTAAAACCTACAAACTTGACAAGCTAAACAATTGCCTAAGAAAGGCAGAGTTCTTCCACGGCGTGCTGAACACCAACGGATACGGGCTGCTCGCAGACATAAGAATAATTTTCAATGAATTCGGTAAAACGACTAACGATTACGTCATTTACTACAACTTTCTGCAAGACCTGAAATCTAAACTTGACTCTTACTTGCCGCAACTCAACAGAAAGAAAATTTTCAAAACAATTACTGCGGGAAGCTACAAATCGTTTATCTTCCAATCCGCTCTGTTCAAAATTGACATTTCAAACAAGGAGGCACTTTATGACATTACTCCGGACAAATCCATGTTGCGGGACATGAACCAGGTGATGAAGGAGCATTTGAACTACGGCACGTCCTACGAGGTCAGGGGCAACGACATTTTCATCAGCGGCAAAGTCCTGCTCACCAGCGAGTTGAACAAGGGCCAAAGTTTTGGCACGACAAACCACTTGCAAAAAATTCACCTCTTGGCTGAAAAAGTAATTTACATTGACGAGGGACTGTCAGTGTTATCAGCAAACATCTTCCTCGTCGCTCCAAAGATAGAAGCGATCAAAACTGCGCAGGGTGTTGTCCACACGATCGAAACTTTGGGCGCCCCATCGACGGAGAACCTTGGAAAGGCGCCGAATTGCGCCGTTTTGGGTCAAAAGGGAGGCCAGGGACGACGTGGAGTCACAGGAGGAAAAGCAGGGGACATTTTCATCGGGGCCCTGGAGATAGTTTCTCCATCAAACGTGCAGATCAAGAGCACGGGAGGTCGCGGAGGAAAGGGCCAGACGGGCGGAGAGGGATGTGCAGGAAAGGTCAGCCCCTTTCCTGACTACAGTACGCGTTTATTTATTCATTATTGAACAAGTACATCTTTTAATTCAAGTTTAGTTATTCCAGATATGCCTGAAGTCGGTCACGTCCTGAACCAGTACAACGCAAGGGGATACGTGACCTCGTGGAACGAAGGTGCCGTGGACATAAAAAACTTCCAGCTCAGCATTTACCCTTCGGTAGGTGGAAAGGGTGGCGAGGGCGGTCCGGGTGGCAGCCCTGGCAGCATCCAGGTCGAAGCGAAAGAGAAGATTGACGGGATTGTCAAGAGAAGTTTGTCTTATGGGGCGTCGGGCGAGAGTGGGGAGGGGGGTCGGGGCGGCACGGCCATGCCCAAGTGCGCCCAGGTCCACGTGTTCTGCCAGAGAAACGAGCGGAAGGAGAAGACGAAAAAGTTCAACCTGGCCAGGTTCAACTGCCAGTGGTTCAGGAACGGCTGCGACATCATCGTCTCCTTCTCCTGCAAATACGTTTCGCACAACCTGTGCACCAAAATGACCCCGGACGGAGCGACTGGCGAGAACGGGGGGTCCGACGACAGATCCTCGGAAAAAAGGGTTCTGCCCCCTCAGGAAAACGCAGACTTGACCCTGGTGAAAAAGGAACTCGAGAAGCTGGCTTCGGAGAATGGTAATCCGGAATTTATTAAGCTGAAACAATTTATTGAGCTAATAAAATGAAGTTGATGAAAATGTGGGGAAAAATTAATAGATAATCAAATATAAAATCAATAAATGAGTAGATGTTTAACAAGTTTTTTAAATTTACATTCGTTGTTTGTAATAAAATTTGCCTTTGTAGTTTTATGAACGCGCAACCCTTGCTTGAATTGAAAAAGGAAGAGCCGATTAGTTGCAATAGAGTGGCCTCACCCGCCGCTTTATTGTTGTCTGCACAATGAAGGAGGAGCTGCAGGGAAAATGAAGTGGAGAGTCGGTTTAGGCAAAGCGTTCTCGGATACACAATTTGAGCGCGGATGTGGTTACAGCTGCACGCGAGAGATCAAATTTTCACCGAGCCAGAGAACACCTGAATTATTATATTATATTTAATATTCCCCCATGGTCTAAATTCGAGCCGAGTGGATTTATTAAGTGCCAAAAGCAGGGGAACTGCAGGCGAAATTAAATGCAGCACATTTTGACACCCATCCTTCCGCCCGCTCGCGTTTTGTTCCGATTTTCACCTAGTGTTGTTGTAAAGAGGTGTGGACGTGAAACAAATTTGGTCAATTGCGCAGTTCAAAAGCGCATTTCAAGCTTGAATAACGGAAATGATGGGACGAGTTTTGCTTCATTGCAGAGGAGAAAGGTGAGACGGGATTTTGTACGAGTGCTGCTGAGGTCAGCTAACCGAATTAAACCGCCCTAATTACCTTCACGTCAAATCAATACAAAAAAATTACTGCCTCTCGTGAGTGATTTGAAGTTATTTTTATTCCACATAAAAAAAAAATAAAGCTCTTCAGATTTTCCTTTTTTTTTTTTAAATTCTCATTTGCTGCTTTTGCCAAAAGTTCTCGACGGTTTAGCAAAAGTTAATTTAAAAATAAATGAGAGAGCGTTTGGCTTTGAGTGGAAACGGCCAAAAGTTTTTAAAAGAGTTTTTTTCTTGCCTCCGGGGAATCGCGCGGTTTTAATACAATCTCTCTCTCTCCCTCTGATAATTTGCGTGAATCCACCCCTAGCTGCTTTTTTCAAAAAGGAAACTCGTGATATATATTAAGGGCTTGCGTCGCTCTGCACTCTCGCCACACGCCAACTCGAATTACAAATCGCTCATCTCTCGATTCCCATCAAAATTTCACGCTACACTGAAAATAAATGACACTTTTTATCTCCATCAAAAAATATATATAAAAGCTTCAGCGCCAATGATTTTGTAAGTTGCACGTGATGTTTTGTACAAAGTAATATGAACAGGAAAGTCAAAGTTCACATAAAAAGATTTTATTTTAAAGCAATATTTAATTTTTTATTTTTTGCAGCTTTTCATAATATCAAATGATTTTCCATTCTATCGGTTTTCGTCGGATCAATATAACGGCGTTTGTCACGCTTTGGTCGTCATTCAAAGTGTTTTCAGAGAAAATTATACCGAAAATGGCTGCTCGTCGGCGGGGAAAAGCGGCGAGTCGTGAAATTCGTTGTGATGCGGAAGATCAGTTTCGAGTGACCAGAGCAAAAGGAAATCAAAAAGTGCTCTCGCTTTTTCACCTCAACGCGCGCGAGACTGTTCAAGGTCTCTCATTTTATGCAGAAACTGTCTTTCTGATCATCTATTTAAGGTAATGCAAAATAATTTAAAACTCTAATTGACTGAACAAGATTTTGTTTTAATTTTTTCTTAAACATTGTGTAAATTTCAATTAAAAATTAAATCAAAGCTTGGTGATTGCATTGATTGAGCAGTAAATTAAGTTGCAACCTCAAGACAATGAGAAACATTGAATTGCAAAACTCAATGTTCAGATTTCTCCCGCAATAGAATTATAATGAGAGATCGACGGATCGTGAAAGTGCGTTTTAAATTATTATATTGATGAATTTGATTAAATTTGCAGACAAAAAGCAGTAGCAATTTCTGACTGAAGAGTTAGTTCTGGTCGACAGCGCCATTTAACTCTCGGCTGCGCAGTATAAGTTGTTTTATTTTCTACTCTTTGGGCTCGCCTTCTCACGGTGTTTCGTGAACGCCATTTTTGATGATGTTCTGCAGCAATCACGTGACCATCGAAACAACGCTTTTTGCTTTTCAGAATAAAAAAAGCAGCAAGTTTGATGCCATCACAAGAGACCTTTGCAGCACGTGAGAATAAACAAATAAACATCGCAAAATTGCCTTCATTTTTCCTCTCCTTTGATAAAGAGCAGTTTTTTTTCTCTGAAGGATATGTTTATTTTCTGGCCGGAGCACGTCAAAGCCGTAAAAAGGCAGTAAAAAGCGCGCGCACTTTATCCGCACCTGCGAAAATTGAGGAAGCCGCCTTAATTTCTCTCTTCAAAAGCATCCTTTCTAAAAATCGCTGCACACCGATTTCCTCCACCAATTAAGTCAAAGGATGAATAAAAAACGGTAACGGGGTCAAACTATTAATAAGCTCGTTATTTAAAGATCAAATAGGAATAAAAACGACTTCCTATGAGCCTCAAAATATTTCATTTTAAATTTTATTTGAGAAAAATCAAACTCTGGTTTGATATTCTATTATGAAAATTCCTTTTAGTTCTAAAATCCATTCCAATGGAAAGAGGAAAAGGTTCAAAAGAATTTCTATGGATGACAGACTGAGCAAAGCATGGAGTTCAATGAGCGTGATTTGCACTCGCGGAATGTGTACATTTTTGTATTTATCCATTAGGATTTATGATTGTTCAGGACAAAACGGCGAGGTTAACTTCTGAACAATGGAATAAAAAGAGCGAGTTATTTTTATTTTGTGAGGCAGAGAAAATGTACTTTTGGTCACGGCCGCCTTTGTTGGGCTGCAGTTAAATTTGTCACGGGTTATTAGACGTAAACTTTTTTTCGGAGCAAAAAGCAAGTCGAAAAGCGAGTAGAAAAATGAGTCTAAGCTGCTGCAACATTTTCCTCGCCTCGGGCGCTGAAAAATCTAATTTAACAATGCGGCGCGGCTCAAACTCTATTAATGTAAAAAATCATCTCATCCGTCCGTCCATTGTTGAGGTGCTAAAGCAAATTGTGAGCCTTAATTATATTAACCGAGGTGATTAATTGGCCCCCGAGAACACGGTAGCCAACGCTTGTTCTGTAACAAAACCCGCCGTTTTAATTTCCTCTCTTCGTCTCAAAGGAGACGCCGCCTTATCGCGCATTCTTTAACCAAATTTTCGCCTAATTTCCACAACACTGTTTTTTTAGAGGATTCAGGCAGGGTCATTTTCATGACGCAAAAAATTTGGATAAAATTAAAGAAACATTGAATTATATTAATTGAAAATTGAAAAGCGTTTTTTTTCCACTTTTCTAATTTCTAAGAAAATAAAGATAATTATGAAGAACGTGGAATTCATTGATTTCTCCCAATTATTGAGTTCTCAAAATTACCAAGAGTGATGATAAATTTTCATGTTTATCAAATTTCAGAAATAAAAAAAGCTGGCGAGTTAATTTGGATGAAGAGTTATTGCATTTCTAATGTTGGAACTAATAAACCAAAGGTATCTGTTCTCAATGGTCACCATGTATATATTATGTCAAAGGTCAATGACCCTGGCAAAAGGTCAAAGAGTAAGATTTATGTCAATTATTTAATAAATTTAATGAAAACCGAAGATGGCCGAATAAAACCGAAAATGTTCAAATTTGTAGCAAATTGGAAAAATTTAGGTTATTGAAAAAAATTTCCTTGAAAAATGATTTGATTTAATAAAAATCTCTTTTCACGGTCGCAAACTTTAAAAGTGAGGATATTTTTATAATATGTTTGCACATATTGATGAGTTTTAATGTATTTATTACCTCAAACTGATGATTTTGGAAAAAAAAACATTCACTGTTTGAAATCAACTTTAATCACTGAGCAATTTCAGTTGCTCAAAGTACGAACAATTAAAAAAAAAATGTGTTTCAATTATTTTGGTGAATTTTAAGTGCTTCAAGCTGGACTCAAATGAGTTTCGAATACAATTTTAATATATCTTCTTTAGATTGGTTTCTTGCCAAAGGATTTTGCCGGGCAAGGCACGTCGTCAGGCCTTGGCTAATCTTAGGGAAAAGTATGCGCGACGATGAATGTGAGAAAAGAGTGGCGAGGCGAGATCCCCCGTCTCTGTAAACGCGGTTCTCGAGGGTATCGGGTTCGTCGTTTCGCATTATTTGAGAGAAAGAGTATCGGTCGGTCGCGGGAGAATGAAACAAATGACGTGGATTTATCGCATTTCAGACAGGAAATCGCTCAAGTCTCGTGATTCAAGTAGGAATAAAAAAACAAAAACCAGTCCGGGCGACTCGCATTGCAAATGTATTTAATTTTCGGAATTTTTTACTTTCCTTTGTGGAAGTTGCGTGAACTTCTTGAAATGCACAAAACAAGGGGAATTTTGTGCTTTTAACAAAGCAATTATCGCAATCACTGGTTCTTAAGTGGAATAAAAAAGGTGATATCTCGTTTGGTAATTTACAAGTTCCTCGAACGCCGCCGCCATGAATTATATAATAATTGTCGCGTTGACGCTCTCCCACGACATGGAGGAAAAGAGTTACTAAATTTAATAGTTCCTATACCTTAAATTCCAGACGCGTACTCGGACACGATGAGTTCCCGGTTTCGGTCCTTGGACTTCTTCAGGTTCCGATGTTGGCTCAAGTTGGGCCTCCTGAACCAATAACAAGTCATAATTAGGGCCAATCTCGACCATGTAATTTGGGAGAAATAACAGCTTGCTTAAGGGCGACGACACACAAAATCAACTGGGAGAGAACAATCAAATCGTAATTGGCCGAATTTTCGGATTTAATTCCCATTGATTGGCAATTAAGGAGGATGGAACTTTCTCAGGGCAGCAAAATCGTCAAAAAAAAACCCTGATATTTTCTATTTTCTACCATAATGATCATTTTGCATCAGTAAGAGATAAATTTGGCAAAACTGACCTGAACTCTCTTCTCTCGGAGCTCTGCTGCTGGTCCTTCTCCCAATTCCTTTTGCCGATTCCGCCAATCCTGGAGGGCGCGTCCCTGAGGGCGAAGCTCTTGGCGTAGTGGCCGAGGTGCAGCGCCTTGTAGTGGAAGTACGCCTTGGCCTTGGCAGGGTAGCTTGCGTAGAATCGCACCCACGACACGTACGCTGCCACAAAAGCCCATTCGAACCAACCGAAAAAAGGCAAAAATGAGAAATTACGTACCTTTGCAGGCGAGCTCGTGCAGCTGTTTGTCGTCCAGCACGGCCTGTTCAAACTGCACCTGCAGATCTGTGGCCACAGCCTCAACACTCCTCTGCGCGGTCTGCATTCGATCAATGAGATTTAAAAAATAAATAATGATAATTTGGTAAAAATTCACCTTGTGTCGAGAGCCGCGGATCCTTTTCTGTTCCACTTCTCGCGGAACCAACTTCAGCAGCTCGTCCAAAACTTTTGTGGCGTCCATTTCTTTTAACCTTTGAAACAAAAACAAAATGATAAATTTTAAAAATAACCTTAATAATTTGATTAAAATATTTTGAAATTGCCGGAAATTGCATGTTTTGGAAATTAAAATTTTAAATTATTATAATAAAAAAAGAACCAATTTTTTTTATCACGGAATCTAAGTTCAAATTTGAAATTTATTGATGAATAAATTATACTAATATTTAAATATTGAAAAATTACTAAATACCATCAACAAAATTGTTAACAGAAATAAATCTCGTTTAAATAGCAAATAAAAAAATGTTTGAGACTTTTAACTGTCAATAAATTGAACTAATTATCATATAGATGTCATTTAATTACATATTAAGAAAAGAAAAATATTTATATTTATAAATTCACTTCAAGTAGCTAGTTTTATAAAAAAATTTGTCAGATTTTCAGTTGAAATGCTGACACGGCAACAAATTTCCACCTCTTTTTCTTCCACTTGCGCATTTGAAATTACTTTTTATATTTTTAAAATAATTTTATTTTGATTTTCAGCCTAAAACTTGGTTTTTTACCTGATTCCATGCTCCTCAAGTTTGGTGACGTAGCCGAGCTCGGAGAGGGCGAGGAAAATGACCGCGGATCCTTTGTGTCCGACGCGGGCCGTGCGGCCGACGCGGTGGACGTAGTCCTGGGGGGTGGGGGGCGCCGTCAGCTGGACGATCCAGTCCACCCTGGGCAGGTCAAGGCCCCTCGACGCCACGTCCTGCAATTTCAATTTCCGACTAAGGAAGGCTTTTCGGTGCACGCGAGCGGAAACCGAGCCGAGCGGAAAATAAGAAAATTTTCCACACATTTCTCGGAGGCACAATTTTGTGTGTGAGCAGAGCCGTTTTCGACCCGGAGAAGAAGTAAATAAACGAAATGCAAAGAGACGAGTGAGTGGTTATCCCCGTAATATAGTGTTTTTCTGAACTTGTTGATGGACCATTGTCTCGGTCGCGCCAAGAATGAGAAAAAGTAATTTGTCTGCGCCAACAATCGGCCGCCGCACTCACAATGAAAAACGATTTCGGCTACTGTTGTTTACTTCCCCTCACTTAATTTGCTCCGTGCCAATCAACGCGTCTTTGACACCGGCCAATTGTGGAAAACGAGAAAAGATTTCCATTTGGAACCTGGGAGGTCTGTCAGTCCCGGACGGACCAACAAACTTTTCATTATACGCCTTTTCAATGCGATTCCCAACTCGTTACTTAAATTATACATCGACTTATTTTACTCTGCGCTGGCATTTCAATGGAAACGCTTCTGATTGCATTTCCTATTATTCACTTTTTACTTTCCCAGGCTCCACAAAGTTATGAACCTGCTCTTTTAATTTCAAATGTAATGAAAAGAGAACTTGCTCTTCTCTTCGAGGAGTTGCAACTGATTTTTTTTTAAGTAAATAAATCTTCATTTCAATTGATCTTTCGAAAATTTGAGCAGTCCAAAAATTTCTTAAAAAAATTCAATAATTATATAAGAGGTCAAAATTTCAAGTAATTTTAGCTCCATTGAGCTGACAACATCATTTTTCAACGTTTCCTCTTTTATAATTTTTTATACTTTGGATTGAGAAGAAAATTTTATACATAGAAAGTGTTCAAAATTAAATTATCTCCAACTTTAGATCGAAACATTTCTCTCTAAAATTATTTCCAGAGGAGCTAGAACTCAAAAACTATTAAAAAATTAAACTTTTTGGCGCCAAAAATTCATTTGATAGAAGTAAAATGTAAAATTGGTATAGTTTTGAAAGCTTAATAAATTTCCTATCAATTCGCGTTGATCTCATGCTTGTACAAGAAATAGAAAAATTACTACAAAAGATATAAGAAAGGCACTGAAAGCCACCTTTTAAAGGTATTTTTTACCTAAAAATGTTACCATTTCTTGAGCATCATTTTTCTAAGTTTCCGCCTCTTTTATAACTTTTGATGCTCTGGATTTGGAAGAAAATGTTAAGTGTGCAAAATTAAATTATCTAAAACTTTCGTTAGAAACATTTTTCTCCAAAATTATTACCAGAGGAGCTTAAACTCATAAACTATTTAAAAAAAAAAAATGACGAAAAAATTGCCCATCATTCCAAAATTCAATCGTTTTGGCGCCAAAAATGGTCTAATTTTAGTAAAATTAAGTTCAGTTTAGTTTTGAAAGCTTATTAAATTTGCTATCGATTGGATTTGATCTCATGTTTATACAATATGTAGAAAAATTACTATAAAAAATATAAAAAAAATACACATTTTGAAGGTATTTTTTTTACGTAAACAGTGAAAATCTCAGGAAATTAATCTCATTTTCACCCTTAATTTGTACCTTAATTTAGCAACCCTTTTGAATTCTGGTCTACTTTAATCGATCAATCGCACAGAGGAACATATAATTATAAAATTTTTATTCGATTTGCATTTCGCTCTGGACGGCGCACCGGAAAAGCTTAATTATAATAGTGGCAGCAAAGTTTCAATTTCCCTCGTCCGCCGAACCAACGTTTTGCCGAATCATTGTAAAACTGTATATGTGCTCAGAGCAGCGAATAGAAATAAACTCACCGTGCACAGCAGCACGCCGGAATGGGTGTCGCGGAAAGTTTTGAACGTTTCAGTTCGGTCCTGAAACGAAATTTTAAAAAAGGAATTGCTGTATATTTAATTTTAATTTAGGAAGAAAAATTTGAACCTTTTGAGTCATGTTCCCGTGAAGGCGGAAGAAGTGGATGTTTGTGCTCAAAATCGACGATTTCTTTTCCTCCTTGGCTTCGGCTTCTTCGTCGTCGTCGTCTTCGTCGCTGCTCTCCTCGGTGGTATCCTTTTGGGACAGGGCCGAGGCCAGAAGGGGAGTCAAATAATCAACCATGTCTTGGGTGGCGCAGAAAATCAACATTTTCCGCTGATTCGTCAGCTATGTGCAAACAAAAATAACAAAGTTAGTGGAAAAGCACGATTTTTTTCTTTTGGAAATTCATTTGAGATGATTAAATTTTATTAATTTGGTATTAAAAAGATCATTTCAACGTATAAGTGATTGGTCAAATAAATCCCCCTACCTCTTCTTAATTGGCTGGGATTTAATTTGTAATTAGTTCCAGGTTAGCCAACTGCTGATTTGTGTTAATCTTTTGATTTAAATTAATTTTAATAGCCTCTGAAATAAAAATTCTTAAATAACCCAATTTTATTATGTTGGTATTATCTGAACCAAATAATAACTAAAAAACATCTTTAAGGTAAAAACAGTAGTTTAACTTCGCTTTAAATCTAATTTAAGACCAAATTATAAATTTTCATTAGACTGACCTCACACTTTGAAGCGACGAAGGAGGCAAGGACGACGAGCCTCAGCTTGGGTGGAATGGCCAAAAACCACTGGTCAAGGGAGTCAGGGACGCTCAGGGTCTCAGTCTCGGCAGACTCGGCCTGCTCGGTTTCACTGGAGGCGTCGACGAATACCTTAGAGTCCTTGAGCGCCAGGCCTGCCAACCTTTCAACGGCCGCGTTAAGCGTGGCCGACAACAGGATGGTCTGGCGCACCTCGGAACCCGAGCCCTGCTCGTTCAACGCCTGCACGATCCTAATGAAAATAATTGAAACAGTCAAAATTTGAGGTTAATTATGGGCACCGACTTGGCCACGTCCTCTTCGTAGCCCAAATCGAGCAGCCTGTCGGCCTCGTCTAGCACCAGGTGCTTGACCTTGCTCAGGCTGCAGCTCTGGGTGTTGGTCAGGTGGTCCAGCAGACGGCCGGGCGTCGACACCAGCAGCGTGATGCCCTTGCGCATGCGCGCCTTCTCGGACTTTTTCTTTTCCCCGCCGCACAAAACGCCTGGCACCAACCAATTGAAAGTCTGAATTCAAAATTGTATTCAATTTATGGATTTGTCTTCTCAAGACGATTCCATTGATATGCTGGAAGCCTATGTTTGGATAAAATTTACACTTTCTAAGCGGTAGCCATTTTTTAAAGATGGCGGAATGCATTTTTTTAAATACTTGATCTAAAAGTATCTTTCCAACATATCGTTAGACTCGGCTTGATGAGAACAATCAGAATTAAGAGTTTATTTCCCAAAATTACCAACCTTGGTCAACTTGGAGAGCCACTCGTAGGACTGAAGGGCCAATTCCCTGGTGGGGACAATGATCAAAGCCCTGATTCCGTCGTTCCTGGTCAATTTCGGTTCGATCGATTGCAAGTCCTGAACATATCTTATAAAAACTTGCTTGCTTTTTTTAAATGTTATTTCCAGACCTGGATGATTGGACAGGAGTAGGCCAGGGTTTTGCCACTGCCCGTCTGCGACCTGACGACGGAATCCTTTCCGGAGAGAATGACTGGAATTGCCAACCGCTGCACCTCGGTCATCTTGTTGCTGCCCAGCAGCTCCTCCAGCTTTTTCACCTGGAAGGGGGCAAGGTTAAAAATTTGGCAAGTGGAGAGTGGGGGGGGTGGCTTGCCATGAAGGGGTGCAGGTCGGTCTGGTCAAAGGTGAGCTGCGAGAAGAGGGGTTGGTGCTTTTGCTTCTTGACGTTGGGCGGCGGCAGGCGCGGGATTTCAGGGTTGTTGGTGAAAAGGGACGAGGTGACGCCTCCCCTCCGCACCCTCCCCTCGCCGCCCTCCTTCCGCACCTTCTTCGGTCGCTCAGCCCAATCCTCACTTTCACTCTCCAAAGCGCGTTTCTTCTCTTTCGTCTGATAATAAAGAGCAAATTTAAAAAAAAAAATTGAAATTAACCGTAAAAATGTTATTAATAAAACTTCAAATTTAATACAATTTCATCAAGTGCACTTTAATGACATTTAAATTCGGACGTAAAGAGGCGTTTTGCTGTGCCGTGACCCAAATGAAGAGGTTCCCAGAAGCTTTCAGGAAAATAAACGGCCAAATTTTCCCGGAATTTCCCGGCCTCAACGTCAGTGTCAGCGGACGAAGTTCGTTCAAGTATGTAACCCTGAAAAGGACGGACTGCGGGCGTACCTTTTTGGCGGCCGACCTGGCCGGGGCCTCCGAGAAGACGTTCAGACTCAGTTCGGCGTCCATTTCGGCCGGCGACGCGCCAAATCCGGGTGAAAATCGGCCGGCCGGGCGACAATTCAAGCGAGCAAAACAACAAAACACAAGCACATGGGCTTTCCTAGGCCAGCTGGGCTGGCTCGGCAGCGCCACTCGCGCGCGCTCTCGCGGCCGCCGCCAACACTACCACCTCATCCATGTAGCTCGCAATCAATGTAAGAGGTACACGTATATTGCGTGGATGAATCTCATTTTCCTGCAAATTAAAATTAAAAATTAAGTATTTAAATGCAATTCTAATTATCTAAAATTATGAAGTGTTAATTTTTCGCTTCTTTGATTATTTGATTAAACAAGAATATTAATTAAATTATTGTATTAATTTATAATTTCTTATAAAAATGTAATTTCTCTTGCTTTTTTGAATGTATAAAGTTTTATATGAATTACAATTTATTTTTATTTTCATTAGTTTGACGCTTTTTTCCCTCATAAAACTGCGTCTCGTAAAAGTGGTGCTTTTATCGCGCTTGTCCCGTTTTTCCTTGGTCATAAAATGAAGCAGAGAAATAATGAGAGAAATAATGGAGTTATTGAGGCGAGCCTGGCCCGTCCACACTGCACACTAAAGTCTTTGATATAAGTTTCATTGTGACGCACAATGGACTCTGCAACAAAAGCATTATTTCTTCTTTAGGGCGATTTCATCCCGGCCAATAAAAGAAGTTTCTTCTTTCGCCGCGGCCGAGGAAATGGCACAGAGGTGTATTATTTTTATTTGTCCTTTCCACGAGTGAGTTTGTTTTTACTCTCCATTAGGTCTGATGGCAACTCGAATCATATAGCGAGCGCCGCGCGGCCAATTTTTCGTCTCCCTTGCGCGCGCTTTACGGCCTGGAAATAATTTATTTATTCACTTCCAACAAAGGGCCCAATTTGATAATTTTGTGATAAATCGAGCTGTTCGTTGGCGCGGATCTGTGTGAATTATTCATTTGACGCAATTTATCTTTTGGCAAACTTCTCCGCTTTTCACAATCTCGTTCTAACATTGTAAATAATTCTTATTTGATAATATTATGAAAATCTTAAATAGAAATAAAATACAGTAATTCCTAAATAAACATTTTAATAAATGTTTTAGAAATGCATTAATTTGATTACTCAAAATAATTCAATCAAATAAAAATAGTTGTCATCTTGTATTGTTGTGGAATAAAATTGTGACTTATAAAACATAAAGAATTAACGGTTACAGGCAAATCAAATTGATTTAAGCTTGTATTCAAATTTTTCTTTTTTATATAAATAAATTTGAAACAGTATTGTGCGTAAAGGATATAAGTTTCTAATCTTTTGGTAAAAATCAGTAATAATGTGGATGTATAATTAGAGAAAAATTTTATATTTGATAGTTGGAATTTGGGAAGTTGGATGTTTCATCGGCAGTTACTTTCCGGGTGTTTCGCAAGCGCCGCCTCTCTTAATTTTTCAACCGCATTGTGCGTTAATCACACGGCTTGGACCAATTTTACAGACGCCGCTTTGAAGCAATATCATCTCATCCGGCCACTTCCTACCAATTATCTCCCCGAATGCAGTTTTGTAACAAGCAAACAATTGGTGCGATTTTCTGAATATGCAAATTTTACTGCAGCGGATGACGAAGTGAAAAAGAGAAATGAGCCAAATTTTAACCCGATCGTTTTCCTTTTCTCTCATTTGCATTTAAAACACGCTGCGAATTGAATTGAATGCATTTTGAATAAAAAAAATGCTTACGCAATTGTGCATCCGAGACGAGGGGGCCAATCAAGGCATTCAATCGAAAAAGGGTTACAATATGATGTGCATATAATGCGGCTCTTAATTGAATCCAACTCAATTTCTGCACCATCATTATGCAAAATGATTAATCGTTGGAAAAAATTAAGTATATAGATTAAAATTTTTGTTTTCATTTAAATTTTTTTATAATTTTTAAGGGTTTTTAGTTATTTTTATTTAATTTATTAATTTTTTATTCAAAAGTTAAAAAACACATCTTAGTATATCAAATTAAATTAAAAATTTCATAAATCCATTTCTCCGCTTTATAAAAATCTATGGATCAGAAAGTTTTGTCTTTGAAAAGTTTGTTTTTTACTCTTTGCAATGGAAAGAGCTAAAAAAAAAATCAATTTTTTCTTCACGCCACACTTCCCACGAGGCATTCGGGCCTCACACAAATGTTTTGTATCGGAAAAAGAGATGCCTCAGCACATTTTAATTGAGCCATCTTATCGGCGGGCGCTGCACGGAGAGCATTCTGCATGTGTTAACATTAATTGGCCTTTTCCACCGTTGCAGACTAAAAGCGCGCGACGCGCGAGTTATCATCTCATCCTTAAGTGAGTGTGAGCTTTTTCAATCATCATTACGGCCGGTGACTTGCAAACACTTTGCATTTTGCCGAGAGTAGCATGTGAGAAAGCTTTTTATCCTGCTTAAATTCCTCTCATTGTAAAAGCAGCACCGGCTTCTGCACCGTTCAATTCTTTTCTTTTTTTTTCAAAACGTCTCTTTATTTCGTGAGAGAGCAGAGAAGCGGCTGGTAAATGTCTCGACGCGCCACACAAAAAAATCATGAATCCTACTCGAGACATATTCATCATTTTTCATATTAGACGCGCCGCTTCTCCTTAACAGAATTTAAAGCCAATTTTATGTGTAATAATATAAAATTACGTTTTGTTTTAATAGCAATTCAATATTCAAGTGTTTTGTTGAAAAGCATATAAAATTCTGGGCACAAATATAATTTTTTTGTTTAAATTTACTTATAAAATCGAAGGTAATTAAAGAGCACTGCACAGTAGTAATTGTTGAGTTTTGTGTTTAGTTCGCACGCGCCTTAATTTTCGTCTGAGTTGCCAACCTTTTTGGGGCCTTTTCACAGGCCAATGAGAATTAAATGAGCAAACACGGGGAGCTGCACAAATTGCCAAACACGCCTGCCTCGTCTCGCGGCGGAAATGTATTTTGTGAATTTCAAATGATACATTTTTGCTGCTGGCTGCTGATGGGAGTTTAATGTTTGTCCCGCTAATTGCCCCGCGCGTGCATGTTTAATTGTGCATTTTGTGAGTTTTGCACGCACACGTATATTTAATAATTGTGCGACATTAAAAGCGAGCGCAATTTACTGTTCAACAAACAAAACACACTGACGCGCTGCACACGCACAAAAACACACCATTTTCAAGCCAAAATCCCCTCAAAATCGACACGACGAGCTCATTTAGCGCTTTAATTGATGCTTCAAACGCGCGTTTATAAACACAAAACCATGAGGTTTGAATTGACAAACTCCCGGTTGCACAATTAATATGCTAATCCTTTTCCTTTAGTTGAATTTTAGATTTTTTTCAGCCTTATATTATAAAAAACGTTGTTATAAGTTTACAACGACTCTCTGCTGATTTTTTCACTTGTTTTTTTTTTTTTTTTTTTTTTTTTTTAGGAGTGTTGACTAAACTTATTGAATCGTCTGTCAAAACTGAGAGCACTTTAAAAGTTTTTGTGTTTGAGCAAAACAGTTTTTGTAATTTTTTCCCTTCAATTTCAAACAGGGAGGTTTTTCTCGTCACACATGACACAGGGGTTGAAGTTAAAACATCATGCGGTGATTAAACGTGAAGAGAAGAAAGGCTGGGGCCCACATTGAGCCCTAAAATAAAATGCTTTTCAGATTTTATTCTTTTTTTTAAATTCATCTGCTAGAATATAATCAATAGCATAATCTTTGAACCCAGCACAATGTACAATAATTATGTTAATATGGCACTAATTTTTTTTTTACCACTTTATTAGAAATATTAATTATGCCCTAAAAAGGGTTTTCATTATTTAATATGTGTTTTTAAGTGATGATTTTCTTCAAAATATCACATTTTTAACGCTTTTTTTTTATCAAACAAAGGTTTTTGGCAGAGAATTTTAGGGCTTAATGTGACGACTCTACGCATTGCAGCTTTCAAAGTCGCATTATCGCATATCTTCCCTTCTCCGCGACGCTCATTATATTCATTTTCACTCTCCATATCACTCTTTTTATGGGAGCTGAGAGTGGCTTTTGTGCAAAGTGCTGCTGCTTTGGTAACAAAACGTTTTGCCACGTCATGGGTTCTTGAAATGACTTTATTATTTAGTGCGGCACATGCGTTGACACCTAGGATGAAAAATGGGCTCCTCGCGCCGCCGCTGCCGCTGCCGCCGCCGCCGCAAACAGGAGCCTCTTCTCCTGCTTGTAAATTGAAATATATTTAAATGAACCTCTATTATCAACTGTGATTTCCGAGTGCATTATCACGTTTATATATTCATAATGCACTCGACGCTGACTCTGCAAAAGAGAGCGCGGCGTTTCCCAACATAATTGAAACGCCAGCAGAGGACCAAAAGCCGGGCTCGTTTCCTCACTTCATACTCGACAAAGAATATAAATCGGCGTCTGTTTCTTGACTTATTTTTAGCCTTACCAGGAAAACACTGCAAAATATGTGACAAAAAAATTGAATTCTTTTTACATGATTTTGGTCTGAAAAAAATGAAAACTTGTATAACTTAAGAAATAAATTAATAGAAACATTTCTGAAGCTTTTGCAATTGGTTAAAATATTCCAATTCAAATAAAAATGAGGAAAAGAAAAGTTCGAAAATACTAAAGGGCTTGAAAAAAATTATTTTAATAATATGACGGTTTTTTAAAAGAGCGTTCAGAACTTGAGAAACCAGAAAGCATGCTTGGGGCACTTCAATCTCTTTTTTTCCTAATGGTAATTATGTAAAAGATATAACGATTGATTATTATTTTCCGCTCTTGAATGATTTTGATTGATAATTTTTGAGTTTTTATTCAGGCAGTAACTTTTGTATTCAAAATAAATCAAAAACTTTGATAATAACAAAAGGGAATATTTAAATATTTTTTAGCAATCAGAACAGAATTTATTAAAGAAAACATTTTTTAAGTAAATTTTGACATTTGCTTTATTTGAGAAAGAATTTTGCTTTTTGAAAAAAATTATAAAATTTTAGTGCCATATTCTGCATATATGAGTCTGTCTGAGGCAATAAATGAAATC